GGATATCGAATTTCAATTTAAATTGTATTTTATTTCCATGTAAAAGCTCTACTACCACTACTACTAGGCTTTGTAGTAGCTTTGCTGATGCATTATACGCGCGCTCGACGACGACGACGATGACGACGACAAGAGCAAGAGAGAGCTTACAAGTGTATGATGTTTTTCATTCCTTTTGCCCTTGACTTTGTACCCCTGGTGCGTGCGTATACGTACGCCCGTGACTTTGCACGTGAAGTTATTTTTGTTATTTTTTATTATTATTTTTTTTTTGTACGGTATGCGCGCATGCAAAATTGATTTCAATTCTCATATACGCCGTGCAGTAATTCGATATCCTCGTGCGTATACGTATGCGCGCGGAAGAATTTCGCTTTCGATGATATTTTTCGTGGACGGGCCGGGATACACCGGGCCGGGGGACGCCCGTATCCTTTGTGATACGCGAGCTCGCAGCGGAGGTATCGTGGGCGTGCGCGGGTGTACGAAGGGAATACCGCCGCGCGTACGATTCCGAGGGAGAGCTTTTGTGCTCGCGTTTTTCGCGTGTCGTACGTACGCGTTTCTGTTATTACGATGTAATGAAAATTTTCATTGGCGCTCGCGTTGTTCCTAGCTCTCTGCGCGACAGCGGGGGGGAGTGCAGTTGCGGAGGTGCAGCGTAAAACGCGCAGAAAGTAAAAGCGAGCTTTTACGCCGCGCGTATAATATACTTATAAATTCGGGAACGCGGTGTGATATTACATCGTCGCGAAATTTTTCCCCGAATTATGTATCAAACGCGCGCGTATCGGGTTCTCATCGCCGCGGCTCATACGCGTGTAAAACCGGGTGTCGTAAAATTTCTCGGCTCGTTCGATACTATTGGTGTATATACGTAAGTACGTACGTGTTTGTGTNGGGGGGGGGGGGGGGGTCGCCATTTCAAACTCGATGATCGTCGAGTGCAACGCAACATCAATCGACTGCAGTTACGGCAATATGATGTTCACACGGCGAGATCGCGCGACACAAAGGACGACCTTGACAACGAGTGAACTGCAGACGACTGGTGCAGGAAGCAGCAGCCGCAGCAGATGCAGCTTGCACAGTCATGCTGCCGATGGTAGTCGAGCTTTTCACACCCCTCGCGAGCCGCATCGAGAAATCATTTACGTCATCGATCGTTGTTAGATACATTATCCTATAGTGTTAATTTTCAATGAACCATGGCTATGTAGTTCTTAAAGACATTCTTATACTCTTTTTTTTGCTATTTAAATTTAAATTCGTGCATAGTACGTCTTAAGGGGGGAGGGGGGGGGGGGGGGGGGGGGTTTTTGTNAAAAAAAAATTTTTTTTTTTTTTAACATATAGTAAATCGAATTGATCTATATATCATACACATAATTAATAGTTATTTGAAGAATATTCAGTTAAATTTTCAGCCTAAAATACTGGAAAATAAGGTGGCTACAGCAAATTTTCACATGCAACGTAAAAAAAATCCGGTGGACACCATCACTCAAAATCTACTCGACCGATTAACTTCATATTTTATACACTATTTAAGTAGATGATATATGAGGTAATGACGTCGAGATATTTTAACTTTCTGCATTTTTAAATGCTTTTTACGAACAAGTACGATGAATTTTTGCCTTCATTTTGTCAAAAAAGTCATTTTTTTCACTTCAAAATGATGCCAAAAACTCAAAAATCATTTTCAACGAAATATCTCGACGTCATTACCTCATAATTTATGTAGATACCGCAATCGATCTTTTTTTTCAGTTTTGTGAGAAAATTTGCTGTAGTTAGCTTATTTTTCACTATTTTCAGCTGAAAATTTAACTGAATGTTCTTCAAATAACCATTTATAATGTATATAATTTATAGATAAATTCATTTTACTATGTGCTTAAAAAAAATTATTAAAATGCAGCTCGAAAACCATCGAACAAGACCCTCCCCCCCTTAAACGTACTTTTTTAATCGAGTGCACTGAATTTGTGTCCCATTATACCTTGTATCTTCATTTTTTCGTTTCTTTGTTAGCTTCTTTGACAGTATGTCTGATGTGTCTAAAGAAACTTAGCTCATTATCTAACATTACTCATTGATATTTAACACTATTGATCAGTTTGATACTTCCATTCATTGAAATTGAAATGGTTTTTTTCTTTTCTTTTTCTTTTAGAAAAAACAATAAGCTAAGTTTAAAATAATATTGTTAATTTTTCAAGACTGTACTTTGACTTATACAAACGTTTTCACTTTTCCACTTGCAGATTTACAAGTAATGATACTCGCCATCTAGTGGTCGAGATTTAAAGTATTATGATAATACACTAAGATATTCTTTATGTGTGACTTTGCCACTTACAGATTCACAAAATATAAGGTATATAAATAAAATATAATATATTATTATAATTTGGTTGAAAATTGGTCTAAATTTTTTGTAACAGTTACATTGTTCTTTTTCGTTTAATTTAAAATATGCTCAATACTTATACACAATTGTAACAGAAACAAGTAAATCTTCACGTCGAACGTGATACGTCAAAAAGATGACTTTCAGACTTAATATGTTTTCTCAAAGAGTACATTGAAAAATGAAAATACTTAAAATGTTAACCCTCTAGGTCTATCCCTCACGGATCTACAGGGGCTCAAAGTTGGATTTTCATTTTCTGATACATTTCTGCTTATTATTTTCTGGGGTGAATATAAAAAAGTTGTTAAATCATGTTTTTTCAAGTAAAATTCGACGTAGAATTAAAATTTTTATTGAAAAATCATATTCATAGCCTCAAAAACACTTGAAAAAGATCTGATGCGATATTTCTTAGAAATATTTTTATACTTACTACACGTGCAACCTACCGGACGCATTACAATTAAGGTACTCACAAAGCACTCGAGAAAAATATAGCCGGGCAAAAATTTCAATAAACATACTTGAAAATTTTGCGTGACAAAAGAGCTTGCGTCGACGCGAGCTTTATAACGCGTTTATATTGATTTTAATACATTTATTTTCACACGTGCCTAGTGTACAATGCTTCGTTATAATTACATTTTACCTCACGTGCCGTTCGTCACAATTGTTCCCTATTTAGATTTCTGGAATCACATTTAGACGGTTATGTCATGTATACACGTTCGGTGTTACGCAATTTTATATTTAAACATAGAAGAAAAGGCTGGACTCCCCCGCGCGCGCGCTCGCGTTATCCAACGTGTCGTATATTAATTTTTTTCTATACTACACACGTCGGACGTAACGTTAACTACATAGGATACGTCGAATCGATTATTTCCCTTTTCTTTTTTTACCTAGATGTATCGTGGAGCTCTCGCGTCGCCCACAACATAGCCTTTTCCTCTTTTTTTTTTTTGTACACTATATATAATACCCAAAGTACATATCGCTCTCTACGAGCTTATGTACACGTCGCAGAGACGCCCGCTTCCAGCCCAGCGTGTGTGCTTACTCAGCAGCAACAAGCTTGCGGGAGAGCTTGCGAGCACCACCACCGAGGACGAAACTTTGAGCGGCTTAGAAGCAAAAGAGGGTAGCCGCCAAGCCTCGGGTGTACGAAAATAAAAACGAAGGGGAGAAAAAGTAGCAGTAGTAGTAGCAGTAGAAGTAGTTAAGCTGTCAAAGCCATACGTATATCGATCGGGGGAGCGACGACGAGGAAAAAAAAAGAAGAAAATACACGCAGCGAGTCTTCGCTCGAGCGTTTCCGCGTATACGATACGTAATATCGAGGTAGAGCTTGCAGCATCACGAAGTTCGGGGTAGTAGATATCGAGCGAGCTTTTAGTGCCCCGCGCCTCGCGTTCATTGATGCTATTATGCACTGTAACATTTTGCTTTAATGGAATGGCACTATGATAGTAACGGCAAAACGCTCTAAAATCTCGTGTACGTATACCGAGAGTCGGCCGAGCCAATCAAGATCGAAACGATATATATGTGATATGTGTATAAAGTGAATTGAAAATTTTCTAAAAAAGCACGAGGGTGATTCAATTATTCGGCAATTATATATCGATTCTCTGATTTTCCAATAGTATAGAACTATTTAAAAAGCTCCCAGATACAAGTCAAATGTTTAAAAATAAACCCTCGACTGCGTTCTAATTTTTTTGTCGTTGTTTTTATTTACTCTCGGCGCGCGATTCAATTAGCGAATGAATTTTCGAAATTCTCATTAGTGTCAAATATTACGTCGCGGTTGATATTAAACGTACGTTACATCACATAACTAATGTAAATTATAAACTACCTCTCAGTAAGAAGCCCTCAAGGAAGTGCGCGAATACATACACAAAGCGGAAAGCAATAAGGCTGCAGTCAGCAGCAGCTATATACCAGCAAATTCATTCATGAATCTGAAAGCTCTAGGTGAAATAGTGCTGCACTGCACCGCACACACACATACACAGCATGAAGGTCGTGCGCATCTCCCTCGCTCGAGGGTTGGCGCATTGCAATTTGTACGCATGTATACAGCGCAACGCGCACACATTGACACACACACATTGACCAGCGCTTGGAGAAAATTGATCAATGGAAATGAGTACGTATATATATCTATATGGTATATATATGAACGAACACACGTGTACGAGCATATTATGGAGAATGACCAGAGCAAGCGAGAGAAGAGAGAGAGAGAGAGGGGAGAAATCGAGGGGATGATTTTATCAAAGAAAACCCCGTGTACAGCACTCGAGCGTATACAGTGCGCGAGCGAGTACAGAGTAGAGCGTAGAGGAGGGAGGCTAGAGCGAATCGAAGGGGTGGGGGTTGACTTTACAGCGCGCGGCTCTGAATTGTGTCACGGATCCGCACGCAGCAGAAGCAGTGAGCGAGAGAGAAAGAGAGAGAGAGAGAGAGAGAGTATAGAAGCGGAGGCGGCGGTATACACACTCGACGTCGCTCGGCTCGGATCGCTCCGTCGTCGCGAGAGACACTTCGCACTTTGGCGCAGTCGAGTTTCCAACGCCACGAGAGTCAGCCGCGCGCTCCTCGTACTCTACTATACACGGAGCTGTAATATACTAACGTAATAATAAAATACGAATTTATTGGCGCGGTTGCGAGTATCGGGGGATAAAATAAAATATCAAAGCGCGAGCTTCGTATTATTTATGCCGTAAGATTGGAGGAGTTTTACGCGCGATATATCGCACGCATTGATCGAAGTATATAAATTGTAAAGGTGTTGATCCACGATCGTTACGCGCTTTGGAAATTGATTCAAAAACGCTTGCACGCGCGATATTTGGGCAACGAGGCATTCATAGCTGTACGAGGCACTGTTCGAGCGACGCTGTTTACCGAAGATCGGAGAGAACGAGCTTTACGTTATTGGTGAGTTTTTGTAATAATTCGTCCATTTTATCAGAGGGTAATAAAATGGAAAAAATGATTCACAGTGCTAAAGTTATAAATTATTAATACGAATCTTATAACGTGTACCGAGTAAGCTCTCCTAGCTTTCTTCGTCTCTCCCTATATACCTATCTCTCTATCTAACGAATGCAACTCCTCGCAGCTTTATCCCAAGCCTCGCGAATATCGGAGAACCGCGGTGGTAAACGCAGTACATAATAAGCCGCCGCCGACGAGCAGCAGACGAAATGTCATTCTTTTTTTCTCTCTCTCTCTCTCTTTCTGTTTTTTTTTTTTTTTGCCTAACGTCAGCTCTTAAAATAGAGCAGTAGAGCTCGCGAGATAAGATATAGTAGCGGTGTGTGTATATGCACACACGAACACACGGGCGCGCGTAGTCGTACGCGCGAACGAACCGCACGAGCGCGCCTTGCCCGAAGTTTGGGAAAACTGAAATAGACGAAGAACGCATGTGAAATGACTATAATTCAGCCGCGGCGCGCGAACACACTTACACGCGTGTCTATAGATATTTAAAACGAGCGAGCTTGCAAAATCTCTTCTCGCGTGTGCATGTACCACTACGTGAGATTTGGCGCGAGTTTTTCGCGCGCGAATTTATTAAACGCTATCCGTCAAAATATACGCGTTGCAGAAGTGCGGATGCGCGCTTGTTTACGCGACGAACGTATCCGAGTTCGTCTGTTGATCTTCTCTCGCTCTCTTCGCGCATCGTGTTTTCGAGCCCGAGCCCGAGTTGCGCGCAGTATTTAGATTTTTCATTTTTTTTTTTACTTTTCTTGTTGCGAGAAAGCACAAAAAAAGCTCCACCGAGTTTCGCAAGCTAGCGCTGCCGCAACCGCTGCGTGGAGGACTTTTAAATATCTATATAGATACGATATAATCTACCTTGAATACGCGCCTTGTGTGTGCCCACTTGACCGTTAAGATTTCTGTGCTGCGGCACCAAAGTCCGTATATCGTGTGTGTGTGTGTGTGTGTGTGTGTGTGTGTGTGTGTGTGTGTGTGTGTGTGTGTGTGTACATCGGCTCGTGCAACCACGTGTAGGGCACAGATTCGATTTCACGTGCGACGAGACAGAAAAAAAAAGGAAAAGATGGTTGTATATATACACACACACACTTACGTGTGTCGGAGCGGCCTCTCGCGTGTTGTTTTTTTTTTTTCATTCTGTTCGACCGCGTGCGCGCGAGGTTGAAACTCTCCGATATATAGACCGCACATCTACAGAGAGAGAGAGGGGCTTTTGAACAATATTTATGTATACGTATAAGTATAGTTAGTGTGTCCCGTTTTTAGTATATTTTTACGCAATACATTCTTCAATAAAGATTGCTTTGTTTTACTTTTTTGCGTGTGTATGTGTGAGTGTATTATAATATAATATAATGTAGGGTATGAGGCCACTATACACAAGCATCATAAACGCCTGTTAATTTTCTCTGTTTTTGCGTGTATATCTTGGCAGAGTAAGTAAGATGTAGTCCGAGCGAAGAGGTTCGAAACGTACACACGCAGAGACAACAGATCGACTTGTTCGTACGCTTATCAAGGCCGCTTCCGCAGAGAGTCGGCAGCTACAGTGCCGGAAGAGAGCCGAGAGAGAGAGAGAGAGAGAGAGTCTCGACACATCTGCAGCAACGCATATATATATTACGTAAAATACCGATCCACACCTGTCTTTCTAGTTGAAAGGGGTAAGTTCTGAGATATTCGCGATTGAAATGAAAAAAAAAAAATTTGATCAATTCGACCTTCGATTATTGATAATATTTGTACGTAATATTAAGCATGCAAATGAGCTCCCTGCCACCCTCCACCACCCCTTCTCTGCGCAAATTTACATTTCATCGCCTATACATAATGCGATGCATACACAGCGATTTAATAAACATAATTATGGATACACGTCGCGGTGAGCTATACATATATGCGCGCGTTATTGATTTGTTTATATCATATACGATTACGAACGGACGCGACTCGCGGGCCGACGATATTATAAAGCTATGCGCGCCGGCTTTATTATACATACATTGAATAATTTCTTTATTTCTCATTTTTCGTTTCTTCGCGATTGATATATACATGTAGAGGCGCACGTTTTTGCCCTCGGCAACCGTAAATGGCCTCTTCCAGTCTATATAACGCATTACGAATGTACTGCGCTATATAAGTATACATATATAAGAGTTGACCGCATACGAGGCGGAATATTTCTATATATATATAATGTGCTGCAGTGCACGAATTGTCGGCGGCGGCGGCGCTCGACTACATCGTGTGCGGCGGCGCTTCATTCATGCGCGCCTACACTTATTGCACATTACAACAATACGCGATCGTTGCGATGATACCCGCTCGTCGCGTATTAAATCGTTTTTGTTTCCTCTTTTTTTTTTTTTTTTTTTTCATTTAATGCATCCACGCATCGATGAATAATTATCCGAAAATGTTTTCATTTTTAAAATCTGCACCGTACGATGCAACTTATACGTTATGTAAATGCAGAAATGCATATTCTTTTTCGAGTATATAATATTCTAGTGTACATGTAATGCAGCGTCTTTTTCTTCGGAGCTCGGAAGTCCGGCCTCGTCGTCGTCGTCGTCGCTCAAGTCGAGTCGCGCGCGCGGAAGCTCTTTGGCGCTCGAGGCGCATGAGAGCTATTATATACCATTACACGATATATATATAAATGCACGCGCAGAGTATAATACGTCTTCATGTACTCTGTATACGTGCTATATGTGTGTGCGAATATATATGCACAGGGCCCAACTACAGCGACGTACATATTTTTCTCTCGTGTCATCGAACGAACGAAGATATTATATATTTCGTTCTTTTTTCTATTTCCTCGCAGACGTATGTATTGACAAAAAAAATTTACTACGAGTATGTGTGTGTGTGAGTTTGTACGTGTGCAGGTCTGTGGATGCACATAGACGCGCACTTTTATTACGGAGGCGGCGCAATGACAATGACGCGCGCACCGAATCCTATAGCTGTGTACGTATAATACAATATAACGCGTATAAAAAAGGAACAAAGTCAAGTCTCAACTCTCACGACTGCTGCTGCGATTCGATTTCCGTTTTTACTCGACTTCTTTGCTTTATTCCATCCTCTATTTTCTTTCTCTCTCTCTTTTCTTTTCTTTCTCTCGTTTCATTCAGCTTCAGCAGCAGCATCGCCGCATTGAAAAGGGAAAATAGTGAATCACAGCTTCACGAGACGCCGCTGGCTAGATAATATATATCGAAGCTATATAGCAAATAGGATATATGCGCGGCGCGTTACGGTAAGCCGATACACACGAGAAAGTGCACACGCCGTAGTTGCAGCATTATAATACATACATAATAAGATATTAATGATGCATCAATGCTATGGATGGTGGTGGTGTATAATAAGCTCGAAGCCGCCGCGGATATCGAGCTTCTGTAATTCCACGAGGGATAGACGGAGCTCTCGCGGTGGCTTTTATACCACTGTATATATTCAACGGAATTAGATATCGCGCGCGAGAATATGTGCATCGTGTATTATCGGCGATGTATATACATGCGAAACGTCGCGCATTATAATACGTATATCGGACACGCGTATAATGCGACAAGGACTCGTCCACTGTGCGCAGCGATCGGTATATAGCATTTTATAATATATCAAATAATATTAACTCTCTCGACACCGGCTCTCTGATTGATAGTTTCCTCTTTTCGCGCGCTGCGCTTGTGCCCTTGGCAATAAACCCGCGCGCCGCCAATCGTGCGTATACTTTACCGGATCAGCGATATCGCAAGAGCAACTATATATATATACTAGGGGGGCTGCGCCCCCCTGCTCGCTCCGCTCGCCAACCCCCCCGTTAGGGCGATATACATTTTATTTTTTAATGAGGAAAAGGGTTTATCTTTAATAATTTTATAGTTTAAAGATTTCTACTATTAATATTTATAGTCCACATTTACCACAAAAATGGACATTTAACCCAAAATCTACCAAAAAAAATATTTTTAAAAGGCCATATTTAGATGTTGGTATTGTGATAGTTTTGTCTTATGTATATGGGTCATATCATAAAAGAGTTGATAGCTCAAAAAATC